CTTCCTCCTTCCCAGTAACAATGGCCTGAATCTCTCGAGTCCGACGGCCATTTCCTGTCACCATAAATGCATTTTTAACTAATCTGTATTTTATCTTTGCAAAGTTACAATCAGGCTGTCGTCCTTGACAAAGCGCTGAAGGTTGACTCCTGTCCATTGCATCTCCCAGCCTCTCCTCCTGTTCTAAAACATCCCTCTCATAGCGGCACAATCTTACAGCACCCAGAGCGACGGGCGGGTGGGACACTGATACCGTACACTAAGTAAACATCAGAGGGTGCAGCGAGGGGGGGGGTCATGGTACAGGCACACACCTGGTTTATCTGCCTAATTCCAGCCACACTCTTGTGATTGGCAGGCTGTGGACTCACGCGACTCTGTCGCCATGGCGCTATACTCCCAATGCTTCTCCTGGATCATCATGAAGATCAATCAGAAGATCAGGGGGAAGGACAACTTCAAGTCCATTGGAATCCTGGACATCTTTGGCTTTGAGAACTTCAAGGTGTGGATCTTCATCTGGGAACAAAGTTATGAACTGAGAAGATATTACAGCTGATGAGCTTTGAAATAAGCTTAAAGTGATTTGTTTTGGTGGTCTTCTGGGAAACCATCTACTGAGACCGTAGATAATGTAAAGATTTACAGATTTACAATGTCTTGGGACATTGGCTTAACTCAATAAAAATATTGCCAATATATTGGTTTTATAACAAAATCATTACTTTATTTGTTTAAAAAAATATACAGAAACAATCAGTAGTTTTAAGTAAAACTTTCATTTCAAGTACTAATGCATCAATATCCAAGTAATAGTTCTTAAAGAGCTGTTCTGAGTTAAAAAGTTCATGGACACGCAGCGTCATTGCCTGCATTTTAATTAGTAACGCCTTCGCAATAACGTTTAATGTCCCTTTGGGAGTCAGTGACTACAGCTGCAATTAATGGCAAAATGGCAAGAACAGAACTGAATGAGTCAGTCAAAAAAATTACGACAATAAAAAGAAAATGTCTGTGCGGAATATATGTGCAGATATGTTAAACATTACTTGTCAGTGGAGTGCAATAAATATGTAACATTTTTACAGAATTAAGCAAGCGCCCCAAGACTTTCTGTGAGCCCTGTAGAGTATAGAATAAGCAGTACTCTATACTGTAGAGTATAGAAATAAGCCGTACTCTATACTGTAGAGTATAGAAATAAGCAGTACTCTATACTGTAGAGTATAGAAATAAGCAGTACTCTATACTGTAGAGTATAGAAATAAGCAGTACTCTATACTGTAGAGTATAGAAAACCAGCACCTGTAAGGTCCCGAATCTGCTACCCCATTGTAGGTGAACCGCTTTGAGCAATTCAACATCAACTATGCCAATGAGAAGTTGCAGGAGTACTTCAACAAGCACATCTTCTCCTTGGAGCAACTGGAATACAACAGGTAGGCCCACGGCCACCATATCGGGAGTGAATTTTACTTCCTGTTTTTACATCGGTTAGACCTGCATTTTCGATGTGACTGGAGTTTCCTTGTATTGAACAAGAAAACGAAAAGCCTGCTGTTTTGTACTGTTTGCGCTGTGACATTTTCTGAAGTCCACTGAAGGACTAGATATGTGACGGTCTGAACTGAAGCGTTCCTGCGATGTGTCCGCACGGGTCAGGGCGTGACCCCCAGGGCTCTAATGCACTGGGGGGTGAGGAGATGGGAGCCCCCCCCTCCCCGGGGGTTTGCCCCGGAGCATGGAGCCTCAGCCTGAATGGGACATTTCTTTTCCAGACAGTTGTTTTCTTGTCTTTTGAGTCTGCTTGCTTGAACCCCTAGCAGGCTGGTCACGGCTCATTTAGTCACATGAATTGCGAAACAAGACCGGCCTTGTGAACCTTCCCCATTGTCTGTGCGTCTGTGCATGTGTGTGTCGGTAGCGGGGGCGCCGTGGGTGCGTGTGCGTGCGAGTGCGTGCGGTGATTATGTTTTGGGCATGACCCTGTATGTGGTTGCGTGTGTAATTGCACTCTTGCGTGTGCAACTGTGCAGTGTGTGTTGGCATGTGCATCTTGTGCATATGTGCGCGTCACCTCATCTAAGCAAAGGACTCTCATACTTCCCCGAAACAGGGAGGGGATCCATTGGGATGCCATAGACTGGATGGACAATGCAGAGTGTCTGGACCTCATAGAGAAGGTAATAGTCTGGGCATCTTGAACCAGCTCTGACTGTAGCACCAACCATAGTACTAACATGGAGATGCAGACAGGAATTCACAAGAGATCAGATGAATGACAGGCGACCTTGGATGACCTGCATGTCGCTCTGCTCTGTTTATGTGGCTGGTGGTGATCCAGGCTCCTGTATCTCTGCTTTGGCCTTCAGAAACTGGGCATGCTGGCTCTGATCAACGAGGAGAGTCGCTTCCCCAAAGGAACCGACTACACGCTGTTGGAGAAGCTGCATAGCCGGCATGCTGTAAGTCTGTGTGAACGCGGCACACAGTGCGGGCAGCGAAACCCAGGGGCCGACGCACATATCATGGACACGCCATAAAGCAGGACACACACGTCATGAACACGCCATAAAGCAGGACACACACGTCATGAACACGCCATAAAGCAGGACACACACGTCATGAACACGCCATAAAGCAGGACACACACATCATGAACACGTCACAAATTATGTTAGGTTTAGTCTCAGGTGGGTTTTTTCCTCATGAGCCCCTGAGTGAATCTCTTGCGCCACACGGAGCAGCTGTTTGGTGCCCAGCCTACGCCCCCCGCCCCCCCCGCTGCTGGCACACAGATACACCATGAGACACCCTATGCTCCTTCCCCTCTGTTCAAGAGCAGTGTCCATGCAACACCTACAGAGAGATGAAGGCACCAAGTTGACATATGTGACCTTTAGCCTGAGCTTTAGCATGATCATTAGCGTAGCTGTTAGCGTGAGCTTTGGGTTGCCCGTTAGCGTGAGCCTTAGCATGACCATTAGTATAACTGTTAGTGCGAGCCTTAGGATGCCCATTAGCATGAGCCTTAGCATGACCATTAGCTGTTAGCGTGAGCTTTGGGTTGCCCGTTAGCGTGAGCCTTAGCCTTAGTGTGAGCCTTAGTATTTTTCTTAGCATGACCCTTACCGTGAGCCTTAGCCTGGATAGCAGTTAAGGCTTCTGCCCTGAGCTGTTTTTGTAATCATTTCTTTTCTTTCGCACCATCCCCAATTCAGTCAGTTACCACCTCCCCCTTTTTGCAAATTGTACCATGATTGCAAAGGTGGGGGGCACAGGAGATACGTTAGATATAAAGGGCCGGGCTGATACATGAGGTGCGTGATGTAAACAGGCCGTGACCCAGCCTGCAGTGCTGTCAGCAGTGAGGCCGCACTGCACCGTACCTCTGAGCATCCCAGCACAAAATGGCGGCAGTCTGTATGTACTTCTGTGTGAGGCAGTGTGTTCGATGTCTTTGCAGACTAACCCCTACTATGTCAAGCCCAGAGTGACGGATCACCAGTTTGGCATCAAACACTACGCTGGAGAGGTAAGTGTGTTTAACTGTATTCTGGTCTTCCACTCAGTACCTGTTAATCTCAGTGTATTAGTCTATAAATATCTAATACTTTTATTACATTATCACAAATGACGCGGTTGAAGCTGTATTATTTTGGGCATATTATGAGACGACCCAGTTGGCCACAACTAGGTGGATGGACTCGATTACAATGAAGAAGCCATCAGGAAACCTGAAGACAGAATGTTCTGGAGAAATGCTGTGCATGGACACCAGGAATCAGCATTATTTGCACCTAAACATTATTTAGCACCAAATCGTAATAACAGAAGATACAGATGATGTTGCCTTTTCTTTGATGGCTTAGCCTAGCGTGCTGTGTGGTGCTCATGCTGAAGGACTGGAAAGCTGCCTTTGCTTGGTAACGTCACCCTCCATCCTATCAGTGCAGCAAGGCCCTCGGTGGACAGTCGCAGACACAGCTCAGAATGAAATTTTAGCTCGGCAGACGTCCAGACAGAGTAGGAGGGGAGATTTGATACGACCTGGTCACATCGGCCGGGATGAGGAACGGGGGGCAGTGACCAGAGGGCAGCTGCAGACAGCAGGGGTGGGAGTGTGGGGCCACAGACAGGGCTGAGTCACTGCTCTGTTATGTGGATGGTCCCTCGAACCCGTTAATGGTGGTGAGTCACTGACACGCACACAGGCATTGGTTTCCTGAGCATTGTTCCCACGTCGGTGATAGGAGAGCACCTGTAACTGATCCCTGCTCTCGCCCACTGCCGGGGAGGGGGGCAGGTGGAGCTCCTGTGGGGTCACTAGGCCTCAGGGTCACTTCAGAGGGCGGGGAGCAGGGGCCCGGAAACAGGGGCAGGGAGCTGGGGCTTGGGAGCCAGAGGGGGGAGCAGGGGCCCGGAAACAGGGGCAGGGGCTTGGGAGCTGGAATGGGGAGCAGGGGCCCGGAAACAGGGGCAGGGAGCAGGAGCGGGGAGCAGGGGCCCGGAAACAGGGGTAGGGAGCAGGAGCAGGGAGCAGGGGCCCGGAAACAGGGGCAGGGAGCTGGGGCCTGGGAGCAGGAGCGGGGAGCAGGGGCCCGGAAACAGGGGTAGGGAGCAGGAGCGGGGAGCAGGGGCCCGGAAACAGGGGCAGGGAGCTGGGGCCTGGGAGCAGGAGTGGCGAGCAGGGGCCCGGAAACAGGGGCAGGGAGCNGAGCAGGGGCCCGGAAACAGGGGCAGGGAGCTGGGGCCTGGGAGCAGGAGTGGCGAGCAGGGGCCCGGAAACAGGGGTGGGGCACTTGACACCACCTGGAGCATCACCCACTCACCTGCTACGTAAAGGAGACAAGAAATTAAAGGTCAGCAGAGGACAAGACGTCTGCGGTGTGATGAAATGCCTCATTCACCTCTTCAGGGGTCCCTGAAGCTGCCAGGAATGTCCTTATTCGTGAAGATCTGTGTTCTGTGTTCTGAAGGTGACCCTGTGTGACCTCCAGTCTCATGCTCACAGTCTTTAAGCTGGATGAGCTCAGCGACATAGAGTGGCTCTATGTGTGTGCGATGGACCCTGAGGGCCAAGGCTCCCCCAGCCAGTGTGAACTGAATACAATGAGAACATACTGAGTACTGTCAGAACATACTGAGTACTGTCAGAATATACTGAGTACTGTCAGAACATACTGAGTACTGTCAGAATATACTGAGTACTGTCAGAACATACTGATACTGTTAGAGTATACTGAGTACTGTTAGAATATACTGATACTGTTAGAACATACTGATACTGTTAGAGTATACTGAGTACTGNTACTGATACTGTTAGAGTATACTGAGTACTGTTAGAATATACTGATACTGTTAGAACATACTGATACTGTTAGAGTATACTGAGTACTGTTAGTATATACTGATACTGTTAGAACATACTAAGTACTGTTAGAATATACTGAGTACTGTCAGAACATACTGAGTACTGTCAGAACATACTGAGTACTGTCAGAACATACTGAGTACTGTCAGAATATACTGAGTACTGTTAGAATATACTGAGTACTGTTAGAATATAGCCAGTACACCTGCGATTAACCTTGTCAGGGTATAAATGTCACTGTCCCCTACACCCCACAGCCAGTGACCCCAGCGCTAGATTAACAAGCTCTTTGGCTCACTGGACACTTCCTTGTTCCAGCTGGTGCCGGATCAGTCATTCCACGCACGGCGGGCCACAGCCGACCGTGCTTTTAATTAGCAGCAGCGAGCTTTAGAAGTTGGTGGGGGTCGTTAATGATTGCTTTCATCTGCAGCCGAGTAGCTTGGTGTTCTCCCACACGCAGAAACACCTACTGTATATCACATCTGCCCTCCACTCTCCTCCTGGCCACAGAGTTACAGTTAACAGGCCAGTCATCCAGTTGATTCTTCACAGTCCAGTAAACCGGTCTTGACCCACAGAGGCCTCTGCGAAGTCCCCCACAGGGTTGACCCTGGAGAACACTAGGAGAGCTAGAGCTCAAAAGTATGAGTCTGAAAGCCTGCATCGCAGTAACCAGAGGGTCAGGGTCAGAAAGTATAAATCCAGACCAAGATTTTATTTCAACCAATCGGTTGAGAATAAAGAGTCACAGTCACAGGGTACTCAACTGGTTGGTTGAAACAAAACTTTGGTCTGGATTTGTACTTTCCGGACCTGAACTTCCCACCTCTGGCAGTAATAATGGAGTTGATCTTACCCTGTGAAAGCTGTGTGCCAGAGTCTGTGATGAGACAGCTGATGTCATGGTGACGTCTCAGAAGGTTCAGCTGCTTCCATTGCTGAATTCAAGCCAGCTGAAAACACGCAGCATGAAGAACCTTTGCCCGTGTCCAGGGAGCCCATACTGTAGCATAGAGCTGATCTCCACCTGACACTGAGCTGGTTTGGCTCAGGGAAGGACTGAGTCAGTGCAACATTTGCTGTGCTGGTGAGTGGCGATGATAAACTAGCCCCCCCATCCCCTGGACAGGTCCTGTATGATGCGCGTGGGATCCTGGAGAAGAACAGGGACACCTTCAGGGATGACATCTTAACTATGCTGAAGGACAGTAGGTGAGTCCCTCTGTCCTCTCTGAACCCCCCCCCCCCACCATCACGTAAAACGTGCATGTGTGTGCGTGTTCTTGTGAACCTGCACTTGTGTCTTTCAGGCTGGACTTTATCTATGACCTCTTTGAGCGAGTTGGCAGCCGAAACGCCGATGAGACTCTGAAGATGGGAACCGCCAGGCGCAAGCCAACCGTCAGCTCCCAGTTCAGGGTGAGTGCTGCAGAGGATTATGGGAAGGCATGCCCCGGTACACTTCGCGGGATTGAAACCCGTAATGGGTGGGATGTACCATGTGCAGTCAATCGCTGTCGGGTTAAACCTAAATGGAAGTAATTAAGTACACAGATGTGGGCTGAACCTGCCTGAGAGTCCCAGGCGGCACATGGTTGAAAGCCTAATTTCTACGTTCCTCTGCCGGGAAAAATATTCAGCTTTGCCTTGATACCGAGAAACAGCCTGAATGCTGCAGCCTTCGCAGCAGTTGGAGCTTAACTGGTCTCTGCTAGATCAGCCGAATCGTTCGTTTGGACTTCAGAGGCTGTCGTGGATCAGAGAGCGATTGATTACACGGTGGGGGTGGGACAGTGCACTCCAAGCTATCCTCCTCGTGTGCCTGCCTGCTTTCTGGGGGCTGCATCTCTCTCGCTGCCGTGTGAAGGACTCGGCTCAACACCCCGTCCTGCTTCCCATAATCCCCCGGAGCTGCCCCCAGGGCCAGGCGTACCAGGATAAAGGGAGCTGGTGACAGGCGGTCTGGGGCTGAGTGTCAGGCCGCTACACCCCCCCCCCCCCCCCCCCGCCCTCTAGCTGCCTCGGGAGGGTGGGGGGCGGCATCCAGCTCTCCAAGTGTAAAGCTCGTACCCTGACTCTGCGTGCCGCCAGCGACACTTGACTCTGTTGTTTGTTTCCCAGGATTCCCTGCACTCCCTGATGGGGACCCTCAGTGCCTCCAACCCCTTCTTTGTCCGCTGCATCAAACCCAACATGGAGAAGGTGGGTGTAATCAGTCAATAAGAGGCCCTCAAGCATCTCTGGCTGCTTGGACCATTTTAATGAAATACAAATTGGGCATGTGAGGCGGCACGGTGATCTCACACATGCAGGGTTGGTGGTTCCTCTCTCACCTCGGATCTCTGGAGTTTGTATGATCTCCCCGTCTTGTGGAGGCAATGTACCAAAAACGTGCAATTAGGTGAACTGGCGTCACTAATTTACTCATAGTGTGTGATTGTTTATGTGTGAGTGCATGTGCCCTGCGATGGACTGGCGTCCTGTCCAGTGAGTTTAATTTTTAAAGATGAGGCCCCCCGGTGATGCTCCCCCGATCTCTGAAGCACTGCCTTTGTGAAGAGAAAGGATTGTGGCCCAGGGCGCAGAGAAACATCGAGAGGCTGTATTTTATCCCATTTCCAAAAAGGCCGCAATAATGCTGGGAAGGACAGAATGTTCCAGATTCCGTGAAAGGAACCTCTTTGTGCCCCCGCTCCCCTCCACCCCCGTGCGGCCTGATTTCCACCACATTCCTGCCGCCTGCACTGCAGTTCGGAGGTCATGGCTGCCCGCTGCTGCCGCAGAAAAGCCAGCGTTTTGCCCTCAGAGCTGCGGGGGGGGAATGTTAAGATAACACACAAGCGACACGGACACAGTCTCATAAGCCCCTCCCGCAACCCTCTGGCCCGGCGCTGATGTCCGTCGCCGTCTTTTGTGCACGTCGTCCCATTCTGTGACACATTCATGCGGCTCAGAGTTTGCGTGGGCGACAGGACGTTAACAAAATTACGGTATTTCTCTCAGGCTGGGACTCCACTTTGCATGCCGAGTGCATTTGTCCAGAGCGAACCGAACTCTTATGTGAAGTAGACAGCATTTGTCATTTGTGAAAAGTTTGGCAAATGTGCGCAGGACTGCCTTAAAAACACACCAGCATCCAGGCTTGCGGCTTTAAGGCAGACTGTGGCTTGACTAGGTAGAGATTCCTGGTCTGGGTTCCTTTCACACACACACAAACACACACACACACAGGCATTAACAGTTAAACAATGACTGCAGTGTAGTTGGGACTTTACTGCTCCATTCTACAGACTGAATCACTGGACCTACCAAACACTAATTAAACAAATCCAATTAAAGGAAACAATGAGGCTCATTAGCTCAGTGCTGCCTGTGTAACAGCCCCCTCACACGTTGTCTCTCAGCATGGTGCTCCAGCGCTGGGTGTTTGGGTCCTGGACCTCGACCTTAAATGGGGGGCTCCGGTTTCTGCCGTCACCCGCAGACCTTCGGCACGCCAGACTGGCGTTAATCCCTGGGAATGAGACTCATCCTTCTGTGTCGCTACCCAGCTGTGCTGCCCAGCCACCCCCCCGTCATCACCCCCATCACCACCCCCCCGTCACCACCCCCCGTCCCGCCGACCCCCACGGAGCTGAGAATAGCCTCATCTGAAATGTTACCCACCTCAGGGCACAGTGGTATCAGACACTGGGACATTTGGTACCTGGACCACAGAGACACACACACACACACACACCCACTCACACACACACAAACGCACACACACCGGGTGATTAATTCTGATGGGATGGGCTTTCAGCCACACTTGTGATCTTTGGAAGTAGCACAGTCAGAGACTTTGGCCCCCAGGAAAGCATCATATTGGGCTCCCAACTCAGACCAATGCTCTAAATTTTTTAGGGCCCCTGTCACTGAGGGGCCCTTGGAATCATCTGAATACCCCCTATACTATGCCTTTTCACTGATCTGATCTGATGCGACCTCTTTGTAGGATGTTAAAGTCTCTCTTCATGATACAGCAGTTCACCCAAACAAAAAGGCTCTTTAACATGGAGTCCTGCACCCATTTGGTTGAACCTCCATTAAGCCTTAATAATGCAGTGCGTCTCTTGCAGTACATGTGCTAATCGTACAGATATCTGTTGGATTTTTCTAGTCAATTTGTGTAAAATTATCTGGTTTCCGCTTTAGAACCCAAATAAATTTGACCCGGAAGTGGTTCTGAATCAGCTGCGGTATTCTGGGATGTTGGAAACGGTGAAGATCCGTCGCGCTGGATTCCCGGTGCGCCGCACCTTTAAGGATTTCTTCGGCAGGTGAGAGACTGGGGCGTTTCCCCCAAAACCACCACACGGTCACTGGTTCGTTATTTATGCATGTGGACAGCTACACTGAACATCGAAGCTGCCTGCTTCGTGCTTCATGTGGGAATGCCAAATTGTCTGTGCTGCCCCCCCCCCCCAGGTATAAGATCATCTGGATGAAGCCAGCGACGGGCGACAACAAAAAGAAGTGCACAGATCTGCTGATGTCACATGACAGCGCCAAGAAGGAGTGGCAGCTGGGGAAGACGAAGGTGAGGCTTCGTATGGATCACCTGCCCATCCACCTCCTTTTTATCCAATGGAACACAGAGCACTTACTCTAAAGGTACTATGATGCCTTCAGCGAGTTACCCTCAGCTGCGGTTCGGTTTTGGAAAGGATCTCTTTGACAGGGAAAGTACAATTTGGAACATCTGATATCCTTCCGATGTCATGTTCAAGCTAGTATAGTGTTGGAATAATGTTATCGGAATTGTATGGATCTCTTCCAGATCATTTTGGTATATAAGCACATTTAAAGCTGTGTTATCCTGTGACAGCTTAGTGGAAAAAGGCTCCACGAAACATCGCCTCTTTTGCTTTGGACTCCTTCCTTTTTCCTAATACAATGTGGTTTTGTGACATTAAAACAATAATTATGATTCATTTTCGGCCCCCCAAGACCGACCGGAAGGGGAAATTAATGACTCTGGAAATTAGATTTCTGAGAGGCCTTCTGACAAGTTCAGAGCTTAACTGGTCTGTCGTGTAAGTTCAGAGCTCAGAGTGGTCTTGGTCTTACTGTTTACTTCGCTCTGGCTAAGAGCAGCAGAATCCTGGGTGCTGGGTAACATATCGACACTACAGCGAATGTCAGGAAACTTTCGGCATTCGTTATATTGAAACCACAACTTGTTCTGACTATTTACCTTCTTAAATCCTTGGAGTAACCTCATGCCCTTGCAAAGGGACTCTCCAAAATTGGGGTCTCCATGACCCTTCCTTGGATTCAGACCTAACTCCACACTGGGAATGTCTTAGAGATGCACCCGTTGCTCAGGAGCGGCATCAAACCAGACCCGCCCTGCCGGACAGACGCAGGACTCATGTCGGTAAGACGTGAGGGGGCGGTTTTGGCGAGACACAGCGCTGCAACACTCCCTGAGTTGTTAGGGGCCTAACGAGGTTCAGCTGCAGACGGTGGGTCAGCGGCATCAATGGGCTGTAAGCCTCTGGCCTGTGGCCCTGGGAGCCGCTGGCTGACACACATCCGCTCGTTCGCCCCCCCCCCCCC